GAGCTAATATCAGAACCGTTTCCCGCCGTTGACTTAAATACACAATTTACAAGCACAAAGCAGCACACGGGTCAAAATTTACTTCCATGGGATTAGGTCCGCATATAAAAAGCGTATAATTAACCAAAACACATATCGAGCTCCTTAATCGCTCGTTTCAGAACGAGAGCCATGACCCGGTACTTCCTCGGCCGTTTCGCTAAGGCCTTCCGTAGTTGCTTCATCTCCCCAACGAATTGCTTCCACGTGCACACGGTACCACCCGAGCCGACACCAGGAACAGGAATCGGAAAGGGAAAGGGTAAGAGACCGCCTGCGACTTGGCCTAGGAAGAGGAAAGCCAGCGCTGCTAGGATTGGCAATCGTGACGCCATCTGAGTGGAACACGGGCCAGAAGGACGGACGGCAGTTGACCGTGGTAGTACGAAGAAACGTCTACTGGTTCAGACAAAAAAAAGTGCTGGATTTTTTACGCTTTTTGCATCCGTCGTAAATCTCAAGTCATAAATGGAGGCACTACGAGGAGCCACTAATCCCAATACGATCGTCAAGAACGTGCTGATATTCCTCGCGGCGATGTACCAACCGACGCCGATGACATTCTTGGGAATACCATTCCCGAACATGTTGCTGATGTGGCGTCATTTTCAGTTTCTAGCACTGTCAAGAAATAACTAGCGACGACCTTTCCGCAACAACCACCACCAACCACACCAGCACCTTTCACTCCGACCGAACAAAACAGAAAACATTTTCGAGTAATTTCGGTTTAGTCAGTTACAGTAGGGTTTAGGCAGGTCCATGTTTCCGAGATGCGCTAGAGTGTAAATTCGAGAGCTGATACATGCATACACCCTCTTTCTCACTACACTGAACTGTGCTGAACAGATGGAAAACCTAGTTACCTTCGATTTGTCTGATTGAACCATACCTAGACTTAATCTAACCACCGTTAACCGTGCTTTTCCCATCTTGACTTCACTATAACCGAATTCACAATGGCGAGAAAGAGGGTGTAGCAACAAGCGGGGTGGCGTAGCAGATCGCCTGCGCTGGGGTGAACTCGTGCAGCGCCGCCCTAGCACCGCCATTGAGCTGTAGGCCTTGACATGGAATTTCGGAACACTTTACTTTTATATACAAATGTTCTGGCTTAGAAGCCCTTCCTAAAAAAGTCCTAGGTGTATCCCCTCCTCTACAGTCCCATTTTTGGCGGGAAATCTTGCATCTTGACTGAATCATTGCACGAATCAGTTCCGCAGCCAGTCAGAGAACGCAAATCGAACCTGTCATAACATTTAGAGAAACTAAAACGAAAGGAAGTTTTGATTCACTATTCCTTTTTTTGCATTGTTTTTGTCTGTTTATCTTGACCGCTCTTGTGTCGAAATCCTGTTGCGCGGTTCCCCGCGAGCTCCGACGATGCCACCTCATTAATCTCGCTTACAGTGTAAAACAAAAATGTTGTCTTTCCTTTCGGCCTTAAAAATAATATTATTTTGTATTTTTCTGCCTGTTTGTCATGCGACACTGATCAACGCGGCGAACTGTGCGACGAGAAGTTGAAGACAGCGCAGTCCGAATGTACGTATGTGCCAGAAACACACGTATAGTAGCGAAGAAAAATCTCTCTTCATGCAATTGTTCTTATATGGGACTATAAGTTCCCTTTTGCCCGAGGTTTGTGAGTTTTCCACAAAGGCCCGCGGCGCGCATGTTTTTCACGTGGACTCTAATCGAGAACATTTGTATTGTAGCAATGTATTCGGATTCCGTTGAGGACAACGTCATGCACTTAATCCTCTGACTTGCCCACGAAAGTGCAGCTCCGCCAAGAACAAAAACGTATCCGACAATGTCCATCTCAGAGCAGGTCCAACAATGTCTGTATTTGCAGAAAACCCTACCCAACCATGTGGTGTTTTTTTTGGGTTGTGTATGTCAAATGTTGTAGCCTGTAGTGAGGTTTGTCTTAGGGGGTACAGAGGTTAGGGTTTGTTATATGTACCCCAACCAACATCAATGGAACACACATTCCTCATTCAGACATGGTATCAGCTAGGTTAGGATCCTGTGGGATCCCGTTCCTCCGTTCTCCGTTCGTACCTCCCGAGCCTGATCCTACCTCTCGTTCGTACCAGTTTCGTTGTTACCGCGCCTAGTACCGAGCCTAGCGCCATCTCCCCCGTCGCGTCACGCCCGTTCCCCCCCGTCGCGTCGCGCCCGTTCCCCCCGTCGCGTCGCGCCCGTTCCCCCCGTCGCGTCGCGCCCGTTCCCCCCGTCGCGTCGCGCCCGTTCCCCCCCGTCGCGTTGCGCCCGTTCCCCCCGTCGCGTCGCGCCCGCCTGTTACCCCCCCCGTCCCGTCGCCCTGTCCCGTCGCGTCGCCCTGCCCTGTCCCGTCGCGTCGCCCTACCCCGTCACGTCGCCCTGCCCTGTCCCGTCGCCCTGCTCCGTCGCGCCGCCCTGCCCCGTCGCGTCACCCTGTCCCGTCGCGTCGCCCTGCCCCGTCGCGTCGCTCCAGCCCTTTCCCCCGTCGCGTCGCCCTCCCTAGGCCCTGGCCCGTCGCCCTCCCTAGGCCCTGGCCCGTCGCCCTCCCTAGGCCCTGGCCCGTCGCCCTCCCTAGGCCCTGGCCCGTCGCCCTCCCTAGGCCCTGGCCCGTCGCCCTCCCTAGGCTCTGGCCCGTCGCCCTACCCTAGGCCCTGGCCCGTTGCCCTACCCTACGTCTTGGCCCGTCGCCCTAGCCCGCTCTTCCGCTGCGACTGAGTCCTCTTCCCCCCCGGTTGTTACTCGCCTGTTCGTTCGCGTTGGTTCTCACTATGGCGACTCCGCGAGTTCTTCGTTTCGACGCCGACGGTAGACCCCTTGACTTTTCCGTCTGGCTTCTTCGCGCTCGTCGTCTGTTAGAGAGTCAGGTCCAGGGGGGCGAGACCCTCTGGTCACACGCTACTGGTGACCTCCCCGAGCCCCCCGAGCCTACAGCTTTAGGCCCTGCTCCTCACGACGCTGCTACGGCTCGCTTTGCCCGTCAGCGCGCTGACCGGACGGCTTGGACGTCGCGTGACGCTGCGGCCTGCATCGCACTCAGCAGCCTCCTCCCTGAGTCCGAGGAGGTCCACTTTACTCAGGTTCGCACCGCTGCTGCGTACCTCACTGCGATTAAGGCCCGCTACTCTACTCCCGCTACTGTCTCTCTCGGCCGTCTTTTCCTCCCGTTCCTGTTTCCTGATCTTGCCTCGTTTGAGCGCTCTGCTGACTTGATCGCTCACCTCCGCTCGCTCGACGCTAGTTACCGCGCTGCTTGCACTGAGGCACAGCTTGCACTGCTTCCTCCCCCCATGGCGATTACTGTCTATTTCATCGCCACTAGCCTCCCTGACCGCCTTGCCTCCGTTCGTGACGCGCTTCTGCTGAAGCACCCTAGTGAGCTGACTATCGAGGTCCTTGAGTCTGCACTCAAGGACGTCGAGAGCAACCTTCGTTCGGTAGCTGCCGCCTCTGGTACTGTGTCCCCCCCACTCTTCCACGGGTGCACAGTCCCGCAGTTACCCACCTTCACTGCCTCTCTTGCCACTGCCGCTACTGACGCGACTGCGGCTGCTGTTACGACTGCGTCGCGGTCCCGCGGCAGGGGGGGCAAGAAAGGTGGTTCCGGTGGAGGTGGAGGCGGAGGTAGCGGAGGTAGTGGGGGTGCTGTTGCGACTGGCGGTGGTGGGAGTGCAGCGTCTGGAGAGACCCCTCGTGCAGCGGCTGGTGACTCCACTGCACCTGCTGGTGGCGGCGACCCTCGAGCTCGTCAGTCGCCTCCTGTACTGCCGGCCCCGCTAGGTGGAGCAGCGGCGTGGTACCAGGCTCAGCGTCAGCAGCACCTTCAGCAGCAGCAGCAGCCCCTTTCCTCCCAGCAGCCTCAGCAGCAGCAGCGTCAGCAGCTGGCTCCGGGGTCGGGGCTGCGTCAGCCCCAGCGCGGTGCTGCTTACCCTCCCTGCCCCTACTAGGTTCAGACAGGTCCTCGTCGGGGCCACCCTTGTGGCCGCTTTCACCCCCCTGGTCAGTGCTTTGCTCAGCTCACTGACACGGTCCGGTTGACCTACGGGGTTGGCGGTCCTGCTCCTGACTGGCTTCCTCTGGTTCAGCGCTACGGCTCCGCTCTGTGGGGCATGTCTGCTGAGCAGTTAGTTGATCTGATTAGTGCTCCTCATGCTATGTATGCTGTTGTTGACTCTAGTGTTTCTGACTCTGTTTACTCTGGTGTTGTTAGCTTAGGTGCTAGTCTTGCTCAGTTGCCTGTTGCTAGTGTAGGTACTTGTGTAGACTCTAGACCAGCGACTACCTCAGAGGACGCTTCGTTGTCGTTCACACTGGACTCTGGAGCCTCCCACTGCTTCTTTCGGGACAGCACGACACTTACACCACTTCCTGCGCCTGTTTCTGTAGCGTTGGCTGATCCCACTACGGGACCAGTCACTGCACGTCACACTACCACTTTACCGTGTCCTGCTGCTCCCTCCGGGTCTCTCACTGGGTTTCACGTCCCCTCGTTCTCCCGGAACTTGGTGGGCGTGCGACCCCTCGTGAGTCAGCACGTGGGTGTGTGGTTTGAGCCTTCTGGAGAGACTGCGGTGTGTGTTGACGGAGACTCTTACCAGCCTCTTGCTACCTTTACTGCTGAGCCGGGCTCGGGTCTCTACACTCTTCACACTGGCCCGCGTGCGCCGCAGCAGCAGCCGCAGCAGCAGCAGCAGCCGCAGCCGCAGCAGCAGCAGCAGCAGCAGCAGCACCAGCGGCCGCACCAGCAGCCCCCCCTACTGCCACTGCCCCCGGTTCCCCCCCCCGTTCGGGTCCCCGCGTCTCACCAGGTTGCTACGTCCCCCCAGGTGTCTGTGTCGTGTCAGGTTCCTACGTCTGTTCCAGTCGCTGCGTCGTGCTCGTGCCGGTCGCTTGCCCACCCCACCGTTCTGTGGCACCACCGGATGGGGCACCCGTCCCTTCCACGTCTGCGCGCTATGTCTAGTCAGCGTCTTGTCCTAGGCCTCCCACGTGTCTTGCCGTCGCTGCCGCCTTCGCCTGCGCCGCCGTGTCGTCCCTGCGTCGAGGGTAGGCTGCGCGCCACCCCTCACTCCTCCTCCCTTCGTCCGGCCACCGAGCCTTTTGAGACGCTTCACTTGGACGTCTGGGGCCCAGCCCCTCGTCTAGGCCCTGAGCGTGAGCGTTACTTTCTGGTGGTCGTTGACGACTTCTCCCGCTACACCACAATGTTCCCTCTTACGAAGAAGTCTGAGGTGACTTCTACGCTGATCAGGTGGTTGCTCACCACTGAGGACACTCGTGGTCGTCGTGTCAGCTGTCTCCACTCCGACCGTGGGGGTGAGTTTCGCTCCGGCATTCTCGCTGGATTCTGTCGCGAGCAGGGCATTCGTCAGTCCTGGACGCTTCCAGAGTCCCCACAGCAGAATGGGGTTGCTGAGCGCCGCATAGGCCTGGTCATGGAGATCGCCCGCACCTCCCTGACTCACGCCTGTGCCCCCCATTTTCTGTGGCCCTACGCGGTCAGGTACGCCGCACACCAGCTGAACCTCTGGCCACGTGTCTCTCGACCAGAGGTTTCACCGACCAGTCTTTGGACAGGGTCCCCTGGTGTTGCGTCGCGGTTTCGTGTCTGGGGGTGCTTGGCTCTTGTCCGCGACACCTCCGCGGACAAGCTCTCGCCTCGTGCCGTCCCCTGTGTCTTCCTTGGTTTCCCTGAGGACTCCTCTGACTTCACCTTTTACCACCCTCCCTCTCACCGGTTCTTTGACTCCCGTGACGTCCGTTTTGAGGAGTCCACTCCGTACTACGTCAGGTACCCCAGTCGAGGTCTCCCGGTTCCTCCTCCCCCCCTCTTCCTGACTGCCGTTCCCCCTCCTGCTCCCCCGGTACAGCCTCCCCCCCCTGGTCCAGCCCCGTCAGGTGTGTCCCAGGCTACCCCTCCTCCTTCGGTAGCCCCTCCGGTACAGCCTCCCTCCCCACAGTCCTCCTCGCAGCGTGCCGCTGGTGCTAGCTCTCGAGAGGTTGGTGCGGCGCCTGTTCCTGTACCGGTTTCTCGTTCTGGGGGTGTTGGAGTTGGAGCTGGAGCTGGAGCTGGAGTTGGCACTGGAGTTTCTGGTTCTGGCGTTGGAGAGAGAGGAGAGGGAGTTACAGCGGCTGGAGGAGCAGCAGCAGCAGCTGGAGCCGCAGGAGCAGCAGCAGCAGCAGCAGCTGGACCCGCAGGAGCAGCAGTCCTAGCAGCAGCCGCGTCCGCAGCAGCAGCAGTCGCAGCCGCAGCAGCAGCAGCCACTTCCTCCTCCTGTCTCGGGTCTTCGGATCCTTAGTCTCCCCTCCCCTTCTCCTCCCTCCTCCGCCTCTCCTCCTGTCTACGGTCCCACGTTTCCTCCTCCTGACTCCTCCCCCGCTGTTTTCCCCAGTTCTCCGCCCTTGTCCTCTTCTCCTCCGTCTCGTTCTTGGGCTACTCGTCGCTCCCCTTGTGCTCGTCCCTCGTCTCCTGTTCCCTTCACTGACCTTCGTACTGCCTTCCTTCTTTCTAGTCCACCTCGTCCGTCTCAGTCTGTGCTTCCGTCTCCTCCTGAGTCGGCCCTCACTGTGTCGCTCCCTACTCCTGTCACTGACTACTACCGCATGTACCGTCCTGTTCTCTCTCGTGTTCTCGCCTCTCTTGTTACTCACCCTCGTGTCTCTGTGTCCTCTGTGTCCGCTCTTACTGCCGCGGTTACTGACTTTGCCTCTACCCGCCGCCTTGACTACGCCACCACGCTTGTGACTGCTCCTCCTACCAGTCCTCTGGTCGTCGGGGGTGTGTCTGCCCTTGGCTGTGACGCCCTAGAGGACAGGCAGTTTGAGCTAGAGTTCCTGGCGGCCGCTTCCCCTCATCTCTGTGCCATGCTCCTCGCCCCTGAGGGTGACCCCGACGCCCTTGACATTCCGACTCCTCGCACTTACGCTGAGGCAGTGTCAGGGCCTTGGGCCTCTCAGTGGAGAGCTGCCATGGACGCAGAGATGGCCTCCTACAGATCCACAGGCACCTACGTCGATGAGGTTCCCCCCCCTGGGGCGAACGTAGTCGACGGCATGTGGATCTACAGGGTGAAGCGGCCACCGGGATCTCCCCCGGTCTTCAAGGCGCGCTACGTGGCTAGAGGTTTCAGTCAGCGCGAGGGAGTTGACTTCTTTCAGACCTTCGCACCTACCCCGAAGATGACCACTCTTCGGGTGTTACTACACGTAGCAGCACAGAGAGACTACGAGTTACACTCTGTTGACTTCTCCACTGCTTTCCTTCAGGGCAGTCTACACGAGGAGGTCTGGTTGCGTCGTCCCTCGGCCTTCACTGGCACTTTCCCTCCTGGGACCCAGTGGAGGCTGAGGCAACCTGTATACGGTCTTCGCCAGGCCCCTCGTGAGTGGCACGACACTCTGCGTTCTACCCTCTCTGACCTTGGGTTCCAGCCGTCTTCTGCCGACCCGTCGCTGTTCGTTCGTCGTGGCTCCACACCGTTCTTTGTTCTGGTCTACGTCGACGACCTCGTTTTTGCCACTTCGGACAGGGTTGCTTTGGCAGACGTGAAGTCCGAACTGCAGAAGAGACACACGTGCACTGATCTTGGTGAGCTGCGCCACTACCTTGGCCTGCAGATCACCAGGGACAGAGCCGCTCGCACCATTACACTCTCACAGTCACACATGGTGCAGCAGGTCCTTCAGCGGTTCGGGCTTCAGCACTCCACCGTACAGCGCACACCTCTAGCTGTTGACCACAGACTCACTGGTCCCTTTCCTGACGAGCCGTTTGAGCCTAGTGGTCCCTACGCAGAGCTTGTGGGTTGCCTCATGTACCTGATGACTTGTACTCGCCCGGACCTCGCCTTCCCTCTCAGCATCCTTGCGCGCTTTGTTGCGCCAGGGAGACACCGTCCTGTTCACTGGACGGCAGCTGTGAGGGTGGCGAAGTACCTAGCGACTACATCAGGCGTGGGGCTAGTTCTTGGAGGGCAGCAGTCTGTCGTACTCACTGGTCACTGTGACTCCTCTTACGCTGACGACGCTGAGACTCACAGGTCTACTCAGGGGTACTGTTTCAGTCTGGGTTCTGGAGCTGTTTCCTGTCGTTCCACGCGCTCCTCTTCTGTCTCGACCTCTACAGCTGAGGCTGAGATTTACGCTGGTGCCATGGCGGCACAGGAGTTGCGGTGGTTGACCTTCTTGCTCGCCGACCTTGGTGAGCGGCCGAGCTCTGCACCGACCTTGTTTACTGACAACAAGGCGTCGATCCTCCACTGTCGTGAGCCGCGACTGGAGAGCAGAGTGAAGCACATTCACGTCAGGTACTTTCTTCTGCGAGAGTTGCAGAGACGTGGACAGGCTCGCTTCGAGTTCGTGGAGTCCGAGGCCAACACTGCAGACATCTTCACCAAGGCGCTTCCGCCTTGTGACCACCAGAGGTGTTGTGTGCAGTTAGGCCTTGTTGACACAGGTTCTAGTCATGTGTAGACTTGAGTTTATTGCCTGCTTTGTCTGTACACTTGCTATATATACTTGTGATCTCTTGGACTGGCCTTGTGGCCACTGTTGCTTGTGCTCAGAGTGTGTGGTGACGTTGTGATCCACCCTGAGCTTTGTTTTCTTTTGGACTGGTCTTGTGACCGTACTCTTTTTGATTTTGCTAGACACCCCTCACTTAGGCTATGGGGGTGTGTCAAATGTTGTAGCCTGTAGTGAGGTTTGTCTTAGGGGGTACAGAAGTTAGGGTTTGTTATATGTACCCCAACCAACATCAATGGAACACACATTCCTCATTCAGACAGTGTAGCAACCCTATACATTTGGTAGCACTTTTCGGTCGACTCGAATGAACAGTGCAGTTTTTGTCATTTTCCCAACGTTTAAAGCCCTCGTTTTTACGTTTTCAAAACGAGTGCTCCGAAGTTGTGGACATGACGAAAGCACTGACACAAGAGTCCCCCAAAAATGAAACCAAATGTAACCTTTCATTCCATAATCGTTGATAAATACTGCGAATGGAACAATCGGTCGTCACGAAACACAATTGACGAGAAACATCCACTGGACGTGAACGCAAATCATGTGCAGCGCATCCATTGATCACGCGCAAAAACAACACATAACAACTAAGAGTGAATGCTAAAATGCATGGATGCTACAACAGAGATGGTTCCGGTATGCTAAGGCGAGCAACCAGGGCCTCAGATTCGTTTTGAGGTTGGCTGATTCATCAGCCTTGGTACACAAATGTAGGCTGATGAATCAGTCTTAGCAAAAAAAAAATCGCTGGAAAATCAGAGTTACCTAGAAAAAAAAAGCTGGAACATCAGTGTCATTGAAAATAAAAGGCTCTCATTTTTTTCCTACAGACAATTGCAACCACATGTTTTAGGGCGGTACGCCATCATCCCTTTGCTCCTATGCAGGGTGCTTAGCGCAGGTGCGGCCAAGATTGTCTTCGTGCTGCTCACCCCCCCTCCCCCCCTTCCCCCTCAGCGTTGTGCACACACTCGATGGCGGCCAAGATCAGCGAGTGCATCAGCTCTGCTCCTAACTGCACGGTATGGGAGCAACGAAGGGATGGGAGAGTTCAAAGGGAAGAGGTAGGTGGGGAGGGGGAAAGCGAGGGTGCAGAGGAGAGGGAATGAAATAGATCATTAGTGCAACAGAGAGCTGCCAAAAGCTGAGCACGCACCAAAAAGGGTGGGAGGGGAAGGGGGGAAACGGGTATGTGGGACAGGAGCGTGGAAGAGATGGGCAAGTTGAAGCAGGAAATGTGTAGAAGTGCAAATAGGGCGGTGGAAGAGAGGAAACGATAGCACTGGGCCGAATAAATGCGAGAGCACGGCATGGAGAATCCGCAGCGACGCCGCGGCGACGAGCTGGTATTCGGCACGTGCAGGCGACGGTGAAGGGAATTTAGCGAGCACGGTGACAAGCAGGCATCGGGGACGAGCAGGCAAAACGGCGGGAAAGAGCAGGCGTCACGGCGTTGGTGACGGCGCAGCAACGAGCAAGCGCGGGCTTAGGAATAGGCATGCATGGGTAGCACGGGTGTCAACGAATGAGGAAAATGCATTGGGAGTAAGGCGACATTAAGGGCGATGTCAGGTTATACACTTCACACGTTCTTACAGTTCCTGTATCGTGGTTCAGGACGGTCTAACACGGTGAAAAGCGGTTCTCGACAATTACCACGCTTCACCGTGTTGAAACGAAGTTTACCGGAGAGGGCGTACAAAAAGCTGTACAACCTGACGTCGCCCTGTCTGTTATGAAACAAAGGCGTGGGGTGAAAGGGCAGTCTAAGGGCCAAAGGGACAAGCAAAGGGACGCGTGGGAACAAGTGGGTGGAGGTGAGTCTCTTGTGAGTCTTGCTCGACTCCTGACTCAGGAGTCCTGAGGTTTTGGGAAATGGTTGGTTTGAGTAACACTTGTGGGAGGACAGTGGGACTGGCGAACTGTGTATAGTACCTAGACATCCGAAATTCAGCACACCTACGCGAATCTCCATTAGTGGGATTTCAGCCAACCCCCCCGTTACGACGCTGGTCAGTCAGTGTAAACTACAGAAAAAAAGCTGAAATATCAGCCCTTACATAGAAACAAAATCTGAAAATTCAGCCTACACACTAAAAAAAAAAGCTGACAAATCAGCCCCACTATCTCCACAGCACTGAAATCACAGCCTTTTTAACCCTAATCAGCCTTTTCTCGCTGACTTCTGAGGCCCTGCGAGCAACGCTGCCCCAACAACGATCCCCACCTCAAATGCAGACCCGACACATTTTAACATCACACCTCAGTTGCATAACACGTGCAAAAACAACACAAACAACTGCGAGTGGATGCTAAAATGCATCGGTGCTACAGTAGAGGTGGTTCCGGTATGCTAAGGCGAGCAACGCTGCCCCAACAACGATCCCCACCTCAAATGCAGACCCGACACACTTTAACATCACACCTCAGTTGCATATACGGTACAAGGCACTTTAGCACACGCCTCGAGACAGACAGGTGCAAACAAACACACACACGTACCGTATCTCACATAGGCGCACACGCGCACGTACATACGCACATGTACAACACACACTAACACACACGCAAACAAGCACATATAGATACAAAGACCGTAATAAAGACACAACCGTCATGAATAAAATTCAGAAATGCAGAAATGATTGCTGGCCTATCCCACCTTCCCCTCCCTACAACCCTCCCTCCCTCCTTCCCTCATCTCCATCCCACTCCCTCCCTCATCTCCCTTCGCAGCTCATGCGCCCTGCACAAAGCAAAATCAGGGAAGTCAGCACACACACGCCCTGCACAAAGCAAAACCAGAGAAGTCAACACACACACGCCCTGCACAAAGCAAAATCAGAGAAGTCAACACACACGCGCCCTGCACAAAGCAAAATCAGAGAAGTTAGCACACACGCGCCCTGCACAATGCAAAAACAGAGACGTCAACACGCGCCCTGCACAAGCAAAAACCGAGAAGTCAACTCTCACACGCGCCCTCTCACGCTCGCTCACGCGCTCTCTCACACGGACTCTCACGCGCTCTCTCACACGAAGTCTCACGCGCTCTCTGACACTCTCTGACGTGCTCTCTCATGCGCACACTCAAGCTCTCTCACTCGCTCACTCACGCGCTCTCTCACGCGCTCTCTCACGCGCTCTCTCACGCGCTCTCTCATGCGCTCTCTCACGCGCGCTTTTACGCGCACTCTCACGCGCTCTCTCACGCGCATTCTCACGCGCTCTCTCCTGCGCTCTCTGACGCACTCTCGCACACGCTCTCTCGCGCTCTCTAACGCACTCTCTCACGCGCTCCCTCACGCGCTCCCGCACGCGCACTCTCTCGCACATTCTCTCTCTCTCATGCGCTCTCTCGCGCGCTCTCTTGCGCGCTCTCTCACTCGCTCTCTCGCTCGCACTCTCACTCGCCCTCTCACACGCTCTCTCACATGCTCTCCCACGCAATCTTTCATGGGCTCTCACGCATTCCGTCGCACTCCCTCTCGCGCACTCTCTTGCACATTCTCTCTCTCACGCGCTCTCTCACGCGCTCTTTCATGCAATCTATTACGCGGTCCTTCACGCGCTCTCTCATGCGCTCTCTCACGCACTCTCTCACGCACTCTCTCACGCGCTCTCTGACACGCACTGTCTCACGTGCTCTCTCACGTACTCTCTCACGCACTCTCTCACGCACTCTCTCACGCGCTCTCTCATGGGCTCTCACGCACTCCCTCACATGCTCTCTCTCGCGCACTCTCTTGCGCATTCCCTCGGTCACGCGCTCTTTCTCGCGCACTCCCACGCGCCTCTTACGCGCACTCCCACGCGCTCTCTTACTCGCTCCCTCACGCGCTCTCTCACGCGCTCTCTCACGCGCTCTCTCACGCGCACTCTCACGCGCACTCGCTCTCTCACGCGCTCTCTCACGCTCTCTCTCACGCGCTCCCTCACGCGTTCTCTCACATGCAATCTCTTACGCGGTCCTTCACGCGCTCTCTCACGCTCTCTCACGCACTCTCTCACGCACTCTCTCACGCGCTCTCTGACTCGTGCTCTCTCACGCGCTCTCTCACGCGCTCTCTCTCGCGCACTCTCTTGCGCATTCCCTCGGTCACGCGCTCTTTCTCGCGCACTCCCACGCGCCTCTTACGCGCACTCCCACGTGCCCTCTTACGCGCTCCCTCACGCGCTCTCTCATGAGCTCTCTCACGCGCTCTCTCACGCGCACTCTCACGCGCACTCGCTCTCTCACGCGCTCCCTCACGCGCTCTCTCACGTGCTCTTTGATGCAATCTCTTACGCGGTCCTTCACGCGCTCTCTCACGCTCTCTCACGCACTCTCTCACGCGCTCTCTGACACGTGCTCTCTCACGCGCTCTCTCACGCGTTCTCTCACGCGCACTCTCACGCGCACTCGCTCTCTCACGCGCTCTCTCACGCACTCTCTCATGCACTCTCACGCGCTCTCTGACACGTGCTCTCTCACGCGCTCTCTCACGCGCTCTCTCACGCGCTCTCTCACGCGCACTCTCACGCGCACTCGCTCTCTCACGCGCTCCCTCACGCCCTCTCTCACACACTCTCTCACGCGCTCCCTCACGCGCTCTCTCACGCGCACTCTCACGCGCACTCTCACGCGCTCTCACGCGCTTGCGCTCTCTCACTCGCACTCTCACGCGCACTCTCACGCACACTCTCACGCGCACTTTCACACGCACTCTCACGCGCTCTCCCACGCCCCCTCACGCGCTCTCTCACGCACTCTCTCACGCTCTATCTCACACACTCTCTCACGCGCTCTCTCACGTGCTCCCTCACGCACTCTCTCACGCGCTCTCGCATGTGCACTCTCACGCGCTCTCTCACATGCTCTCTCACGCAATCTCTCATGCGCTCTCTCACGGGCTCTCACGCATTCCGTCGCACTCCCTCTCGCACACTCTCTTGCGCATTCTCTCTCTCACGCGCTCTCTCATGCACTCTCTCGCACACTCTCACGCGCTCTCTCACGTGCTCTTGAATGCAATCTTTTACGCGGTCCTTCACGCGCTCTCTCACGCGCTCTCTCATGCACTCTCTCACGCACTCTCTCACTCACTCTCTGACACGTGCTCAATCACACGCTCTCTCACGCGCTCTCTCACGCGTACTCTCACGCGCTCTCGCTCTCTCACACGCTCCCTCACGCGCTCTCTCACGCACTCTCTCACGCGCTCCCTCACGCGCTCTCTCACACGCACTCTCACGCGCTCTCTCATGCGCTCGCGCTCTCTCATGCACTCGTGCTCTCTCACTCGCACTCTCACGCACACTCTCACGCGCACTTTCACACGCACTCTCACGCGCTCTCACACGCTCCCTCACGCGCTCTCTCACGCACTCTCTCACGCTCTATCTCACACACTCTCTCACGCGCTCTCTCACGTGCTCCCTCACGCACTCTCTCACGCGCTCTCGCATGCGCACTCTCACGCGCTCTCTCACATGCTCTCTCACGCAATCTCTCATGCGCTCTCTCACGGGCTCTCACGCATTCCGTCGCACTCCCTCTCGCACACTCTCTTGCGCATTCTCTCTCTCACGCGCTCTCTCATGCACACTCTCTCGCACACTCTCACGCGCTCTCTCACGTGCTCTTTGATGCAATCTCTTACGCGGTCCTTCACGCGCTCTCTCACGCGCTCTCTTGCGCACTCTCTCACGCGCTCTCTGACACGTGCTCTCTCACGCGCTCTCTCACGCGCTCTCTCACGCGCACTCTCACGCGCACTCGCTCTCTCACACGCTCCCTCACGCGCTCTCTCACGCACTCTCTCACGCGCTCCCTCACGCGCTCTCTCACGCGCACTCTCACGCGCTCTCTCATGCGCTCGCGCTCTCTCATGCACTCGTGTTCTCTCACTCCCACTCTCACGCGCACTCTCACGCGCACTTTCACACGCACTCTCATGTGCTCTCACACGCTCCCTCACGCGCTCTCTCACGCACTCTCTCACGCTCTATCTCACACACTCTCTCACGCGCTCTCTCACGTGCTCCCTCACGCACTCTCTCACGCGCTCTCGCATGTGCACTCTCACGCGCTCTCTCACATGCTCTCTCACGCAATCTCTCATGCGCTCTCTCACGGGCTCTCACGCATTCCGTCGCACTCCCTCTCGCACACTCTCTTGCGCATTCTCTCTCTCACGCGCTCTCTCATGCACACTCTCTCGCACACTCTCACGCGGTCCTTCACGTACTCTCTCACGCACTCTCTCACGCGCTCTCTCACGCGCTCTCTCACGGGCTCTCATGCACTCCCTCACATGCTCTCTCTCACGCACTCTCTTGCGCATTCCCTCTGTCACGCGCTCTTTCTTGCGCACTCCCACGCGCTCTCTCACGCGCACTCCCACGCGCTCTCTTATGCGCTCTCTGACGCACTCCCTCACACGCTCTCTCACGCGCTCTCTCACGCGCTCTCTCACGCGCACTCTCACGCGCTCTCTCACGCGCACTCGCACTCTCACGCGCTCCTTCACTCGCTCTCTCACGCGCTCCCTCACGCGCTCTCTCACGCGCTCCCTCACGCGCTCTCTCACGCGCACTCTCACGCGCTCTCTCACTCGCACTCTCACGCGCACTCTCACGCGCACTCTCACGCGCACTCTCACACGCACTCTCACGCGCTCTCACACGCTCCCTCACGCGCTCTCTCACGCACTCTCTCACTTGCGCCCTCACGCGCTCTCTCACGCACTCTCTCACTTGCGCCCTCACGCGCTCTCTCACGCACTCTCTCACGCGCTCTCGCACGCGCTCTTGCATGCGCACTCTCACGCGCTCCCGTGCACACGTCCCCCCTCGCGCTCCTCTTCTTTAAATAGAAGTGCAATGCAAGAGGAAACGAATTGACTAACAAAATTTTCAAGGCGAGCAGAGAAGTAAAATATAGGGGGAAATTTCAGAAGGGGGCGGGAGGATTAAAGGACCGAGAACGCACCTAATAATCAGAATGCCTCAGAAAACAACCCTCGCTGGCGCACCAACCCGCGCTCGCGCACCAAACAGCGCTCGCGCACCCTTCCGAGCTCGCGCATCGACCCGCCCTCGCGCACCAACTCGCGCTTGCGCTCGTGCACCTGTCGCCAGAGGCGACGGAAGGGAGGAGGGAGAGGCGACGACAGGGAGGAGGGAGAGGCGACGGCGGGAGGGAGGGAGAGGCGACGGCGGGGAGGAGGGAGAGGCGACGGCGGGGAGGAGGGAAAGGCGACGGCGGGGAGGAGGAGAGGCGACGGCGGGGAGGAGGGAGAGGCGACGGCGGGGAGGACGGAGAGGCGACGGCGGGGAGGACGGAGAGGCGACGGCGGGGAGGAGGAGAGGCGACGGCGGGGAGGAGGGAGAGGCGGCGGCGGGGAAGAGGGAGAGGCGACGGCGGGGAGGAGGGAGTGGCGGCGGCGAGGAGGAGGGAGAGGCGACGGCGGGGAGGTAAGGGAGAGGAGATGGCGGGGTGGAACGGAGTGATTGTGAGGTGGGAGAGAGAGGCGATGGCGGAGTGGGAGGGAGAGGTGACGGCGGAAAGTGAGGGAGAGGATACGGGAATGGGAGGGAGAGCGACGGCTGGGTGGGAGGTACTAGCGACGGTGGGGTGGGAGGAGAAATAGCTAGAGAAGAAAGTAGCGAGCAAGAACGGAACCTCAGGAGGAACCAAGAACGGAATCAAGAAATGAAGAGCGTCGAAATCGAGTTTGACAGCTGTGAAAGGGATGGATACCTTGGGCTTGGTTGGTTTGTCGTGAATTTTCTGCCAGCGCAGAATGAGGCACTGAAACTTCTCTATTCATAGAAGTATGAGGACAAGGGCGAATGGCAAGCTTAAAACCGGAGGTCCAAGAGTTTCAAAGTTAGGAAGGTTGGTTGGGCAGAGAAATACAATTGGATGACGAGGAGGTTGGGTTCACGAATTTGTCTAGGGATGTTCGCCCGTCTGGGGATTTGTCATTGTTACCACAATTGCTGTGCGACACTAACTCCAATGTCAAAACATCGCCAGACACACTCTGCGACCAGAACGTTGCCAATGGCAGAATATGTGCAGCGGCAGCAATAATTACGTGAAAGTTAGCTGAATCCAGTAACTCAGCTAGTAAACTCAGCAAATATTTGCAGGTCCCATCCAGCAACTTAGTAGTGGTGCGGATCATATCCCCACATCTCATCCACATCCTCCCACTCCAGATCTTCCATGTCTCCTCTTTCCTCCTCTCCCCCCACGCCAACCGCATCTCTTTCCCCCACGGTGGGTACACCTTCCTCCCCTCCTTGCCCTCCCACTCCACCCCCGTTCACTGGAACATCAACCGTAGTTGAGGGAGATGTGGCAACCATGCTGACTCTTTGTCTCTTATGCGGCCTCCCATCCGTACTTACTTGTGCCTCCCCTCCCATTTTTCCCGCCCCGCATCCCTTTCCCACTCCGCTGACTTGTTGTCGCAGCCGCAACACCTTACGCATGTCTGGGTGTTTCCATTGTGCAGCAGTGGCTTCCAGCTTCTTGAAAGGAATGCGTTTGAGTAATCCACACACAGCGCTAACAAGATCCTCTTTTGTGGGTTTCTTTGGTAGGCGACCCTTGTAACCCACCTCGGAAAGCCACGCGGAAAGGTGCTGGGGAGTAACATGCCACAAATCCTCAATCGTTTCGCACTCGGGAACGCGAAGAGATGGCTTCTTTGCCTCGATGAAGTCTTTGACAAACCGCCTGGTCAAATTCCGACCCTTGTGCCACACATCCATCTGATGGTTAATCTCTTTTCCTATGATTGCCGCTTTGAACGAACCCCCTTCATCAGAAATGATGCCCTTAACCACGAAACCAAGTTGTTTCAACTCATCTAAGCCTCGCTCAAATGCAACTTTCTCGAGTTGAGTGGACGACCCACCTACAATCTGTTTGGACACCGTGACACAATGCAAGACCTGCCTTGTAATCCGATCCATGAACGACACAGTGCACCAAGCTCCCTCTCGTGCCTTGTCCCACCGACCATCAACACAAATCCACTCCCCAGGAATCATCCTTCGACCCATTTGTTCTCTCACAACCTCCATTGACTTGGATGCTTGTCTCCATATGCTACACCACAGGCCGTTCTCTCCATCCATGAGACGATAAAATGTCTGCTTACTGGGTATCCTGATACCCAGCGTGCGAGTGACCTCCCATAGAGCTTGAAAGCCTAACCCCGCAAGCGAAAATGCACCCATGAATAGCTGCACCATGGGAGGGGTCCTGGGACCACGACTTCCTGGCCCTTCATCACTGGTGTACCGTTTGGTGGACCAGAACTCAAGAGAGCCGCCACACTGATCACATCTCCATGCCAGTCCAAGACACGACCACACTTGCCACCACCAGCGTAAGCGCATTCTATCGTTGCAACTGGGCCGAGCAGCGCAACACAAATAGAGGGTCATGAAGAATTGCACGATCAACGGTGGGTCCAGAAGACATACCACGTTGCCTGAAAGCTGAGCTAGAGTTGGGGATTCATGTGAGGATCTGGGATCGAGCTCAGAAAAGATGATTCAAATTGAATTGAATGATCACCTGGGTACAACACGAGGCTATATATAGGCTCGACACAAGGCCCCGTAACCAGGTGTTACGCGAAGGTTCCGCGGGTCGCGAAGCGTCCCGAACAGATCCTTACCGAATTCGGTAGAAGGCAATTCGGTGGCAACCGAAAAGCCAGAATTCGGTGCACGCAACCTAGCTCGGTGCTATAACTATAATAAAATATAGGAAAGCACCTAGCCTAGGAAATCAAGCAATTCATGCATGCATATGATTATCCTATGCTAGAAATAGCATGATAAAGTAGAGGCAAGCATGAGAAGAATTGAACGAGAATGAAATGAGTATGAAGGAAGTGAGTACAAATAGGAAACCCTAATTGTGTTGTACCCCCTATGGGATACCCCACTATAGCCTACACAAACAAGTAAGCTATGTGTTCTGACACACCCCCATAGGCAAAGTGGGGGAGAACAAGGGGTCACAAGACCAGTCAAGCAAAGCAAAGCAAGGCTCAGGGTGGATCACAAAGTCACCACGCATTCCGAGCACAAGTTCAAAGGCCACAAGGCCAGTTCACATGCAAGATCATATATAGAGGTATACAAGAGTCAAGCAAGCAAGAGCAAGAGTATATATATGCGAAGGTACAAGCAAGGTCAAGAGGAGAGCAAGTGAGGCAAGACAGGCACAAGACCCAACTGCGTGCAGCAACGCTGATGATCACAAGGCGCAAGTGCCTTGGTGAAGACATCAGCAGTGTTGGCCTCAGAGGCCACGTACGCAAGTCGCAGCTGTCCACGCTGCTGTAGCTCACGAGCAAGAAAGTAGCGAAGAGCAATGTGCTTCGTTCTGTGCTCCAGTCGCTGCTCTCGACACAAGGCCAGCATGGCCTTGTTGTCTACGTACAGGACTGGAGGAGAACGAGGCTGCTCTCCAAGGTCGGTCAGCAGGTAGGTGAGCCAGCGTAACTCCTGTGCAGCCATAGCCCCAGCGTAGATCTCAGCCTCACAACTGGAGCCGAGAACAGAAGACGAGCGGGTAGCCCGCCACGAGACAGAGCCGAAACCAAGGCTGAAGGTGTAACCCTGTGACGACCGCTGCGTAGCCTGGTCGTCAGCCCAAGAAGCGTCTGCGTGCCCAGTGAGGACCACTGGACTGCGCCCTCCAAGCACTAGCCCCATGCCCGACGTACTGCACAAGTAGCGCAACACCCTCTTCGCTGCAGCCATGTGCTCTGGTCGGTGTCTCCCAGGAGCAACAAAGCGTGCGAGAATGCTAAGAGGGTATGCGAGGTCAGGTCGTGTGCAGGTCATCAGGTACATGAGGCAGCCAACAAGCTCTGCAAACGGGCCACTCGACTCTACAGACTCATCCGAAGGCAGAGCTGAGAGCAAGTGGCGAGTAGACAGAGGAGTGGCCTGAGGCGAGGAGTACGTGAAGCCGAAGCGCTGAAGGACCTGCTGCACCATGTGTGACTGAGTCAGGGTAATGGTGCGGCGTGCTCTGTCCCGGGTGATCTGCAAGCCAAGGTAGCTGCGCAGTTCACCCAGGTCAGTGCACGTGTGTCTCTTCTGCAGCTCGGACTTCACGTAGGCGAGTCCAGCAGTGTCAGCTGTGGCAAAGACCAAGTCGTCGACGTACACGAGGATGTAGAACGGCGGCAGAGAGGTGTCGGTGCGCAGAAACAGCGACGGGTCGGCAGTGGAAGGAGCAAACCCAAGTGCCGCGAGCGTAGTCCTCAGTGTGTCGTGCCACTCACGTGGCGCCTGGCGGAGACCGTAGACTGGACGCCGGAGACTCCACTGGGTACCAGGAGGGAAAGACCCAGTGAAGCCAGGTGGGCGACGCAGCCAGATCTCCTCGTGCAGGCTGCCCTGCAAGAAAGCTGTGCTGAAGTCGAGAGAGTGGAGCTCGTAGTCACAGTGAGCAGCAACGTGCAGCAGAACCCGAAGAGTGGTCATCTTCGGGGTGGGGGAGAAGGTCTGAAAGTAGTCAACCCCCTGCCGCTGACTGAAGCCACGAGCCACGTAACGCGCCTTGAAGACAGGCGGAGAACCCGGCGGCCGCTTCACCCTGAAAATCCACATGCCACTGACGATGTTCGCCCCAGGAGGGGGAACAGCGTCAACGTAGGTGCCTGTGGACTTCCAGGAAGCCATCTCTGCATCCATAGCTGCCTGCCAATGAGAGGAGTAGGGACCCTCTATCGCCTCCGCGTAAGAGCGTGGAGTCGGGATGTCTGGTGCATCCGGGTCTCCCTCAGGGGCTAGTAGTACAGACGCGAGACGAGGTGAAGCGGCGGCCAGACACTGGAACTCCTCCTGCCTGTCCTCAAGGACGTCCGTGCCAAGGGCACACCCACCCCCGACGGACGGAGGACAGGCGGACTCAGACTCAGGGACAAGACGAGCAGCGTAGTCTAGACGACAGCGCGCAGCAAAGTCGACAAGCTCAGTGACAAGGGCAGACGCAGCAGACGACTCGAAGGAGGGGTCAGTGATAGCAGTAGCCAGGAGACGCGTGACAGTAGGACTGGCAGCACGAAGAGAGTCCGACTCCGGGTCGGCAAGAGCAGGAAGAGAGGAAGCAGGAGGAGAAGGCAAAGGGGCACGCAGAGGAGCAGTGGACGGACGCAGTGACATCCGGTGCGTGCCAGGGACAGGAGGAGGACGCTGACGCGACCCGCGACCACTAGCGCGCTCAGTACAAACAGGCGACACAGGACGAGACGCAGGCTCACGACGCTCAGTAAGACCTCCAGTCGGACCAGCGTAGGGAGAAGGAGCAGGCAAAGGGGAGGCAGGCTGTAGCTGTGGCTGTGACCGGACAGGCTGCGGACCCTCTAAGGGAGGAGGAGGAGGTGTAAGACCAAGAACCTGCTGCAGGAGCGGAACGAAGTACGGTCGGGGCCGCGCGGCGACGCTAGAAACAGCAGGAACAGCACCAGTAGCCCCGGCAGGAGCACCCACTCCAGCAGCACCTCCAGCAGCACCACCAGAAGCTCCAGAACCCCCAGCCGCAGCACCAGGAGCACTGTCAGTCGGACCGCCAACGGCAGGCTCAGCGCCAACACCCTCAGCAGGACCAGCTCCAGGAGAACTCTCAGACCCAGCAGCTCCAGCACCCACAGTACGAGCACCGGCGGGACGCGCGGCAGCAGTACCCTCTGCAGTCGAAGAACCACCCGCACCAGCAGCACGCCTCCAGCGCCTAGCAAACCACTCACGCAGCTCCTGTGGGGAGAGTGGCTCCCGGCGAGACGAAGCACCCCTAGGCACAGCACCTCCAGGCTCAGAACCCCTAGACACAGCACCCCCAGGCACAGCACCCCCAGGCTCAGCAACCTCAGGCACAGCACCCCCAGGCGCAGCACCTCCAGGCTCTGCACCCCCAGACTCGGCACCTCCAGGCTCAGCACCCCCAGACTCCGCACCCCCAGGCTCAGCTCCCGCAGCAGTACCAGAGTCACCAGTGACCTCGACAGGCTCGACCGCGTCTACCTGGGACACACCTGAAGGGGCAGGACCCTGAGGGGGGAGGGGGACTACCGGGGGGGGACCTGGTACCAAGAAGAGCGGGGGTGGGGGGAGGGACGGAGTGCGGTAGGGGAAGAGGCGGTAGTAGGGTACCGACTCGTCGAACGTGACGTCCTGGGAGGACAGAACACGTCGAGAGGTGGGGTGGTAAAACTGCCACCCAGGGGCGTCGGGGGGGAACCCCAGGAAGACGCAGGGAGAAGCACGAGGGGACAGCTTGTCCGCAGACAGGTCGCGAACAAACGCCCGAGATC